TATGCGAAGCTTGAAGCTGTTTTTGGCGATAAAGGTAAATCGTCACGCTCCTCGCTGAGATTCATCGACTAATGAAATAATTTGAACGCTAAACATCTATATATGCAAACACGATTCCGGCGCAGACAATGATTTATATGAAGAACGTGCTGCTGAACAGCATGGTCGCCTTCGCTTTGAACTAGGTTCTATATCTTATTAAAAGATATAATCAACTACTGATGAGGGACAGCAATATCCCTTTCTTCGTGGTGAGCATAAAAAGCGAGATAGACTCGAAGGGCTGATTGAGCCGAGGAAACTTCCCAAAACAATATTATAATTTTAACGTCTGGCGACTGAACTGCTTAGGTTCCATTGTGGTTACGCATAGACCTAAATCGACGATGCATTCGCCCATAACTGTGCAGCAGAGAAGAGGTTGGTCATAAAACCCACATTTAATATTGGCCAGCAGTGCTCACGTGTGTGCACTGGCAGTCCTTATTTACTAGTATAGTCAAGTGTATCGTTGATGCCGATGAGATCACCTTATCCGGGTTGCCTCACCAAAAAGCAGATCATGCCCGTAGATCCAGCAAACAAAGAAAAACAGATAAAGTTAATTTAGATTGTCTCGTGCTTCTCGTCCAAAAAAATTAATTTGTTGTTTTTCCTGGCAAACTACTTGCACAAGTTCGATGCAAAATATGCCGGATTGAAATTACCCCTCACAAATCTCCTGGGTAAAAATGTCAGAAACTCGTTGGGGAACGACAAAAAGCGACTTAAAAGTCTTATACGTAACCACATTCTGGCTCTCACGAACCAAGAACGATCATTGCAGCTTTTATATGACGCTTCGGTCTTAAAAATAGGCTGTGTCTTACTTGAATTAGACATCGATAGGCATAGGGGTTTGTGGTATGTATAGACCACACGTCGTTGCGTACGTTATAGACGTAATCAAATTTCTCACAGAGCATGACAACTCGTCTTTGAAATATATCTTTTCAGAAATGAACACAACCGGTTTTATGTGATAGCGGATACGCTCTGGCACCACATCGACAAAACATTTTCGCATACCACCATCGTAACTCTGCCGATCGATGAGGCGATACTTATGGTTTACGGGTCATACGCAACACGTGTTGCGCAGGTAAAAGCATTCGGAATCCACGTTACGGGAGAATTTAAAAGTTCCTTTATTGAAGCGCGTGGTTGCACGCTTGCACCGCAATGCCTTATCCCAAGGCTTGTTGCACTACAGCACATACCCGCATGACACTTAGCGCGCAGTGATACGAGTGGGACATCAAGAACAGATTTCCATTTAAGGAACAGGATATGGCCGCCTCGGAGGAGAAAGCGATACTGCTTAGTAAGCGCTATGCACAAGTGGACCAACATGTAAAGTAGGCCAAACCATATCAATGCACGTAGGAAGGGAGTCAAAGGATTACGCCTTCGTCACATGCAGTGGTAGCTTGTCATGTTGGTACTCCATATGAATGAGCCTTATCTGGTCACCTAAAAAAGCGTTCAAGAGGACCGGCATTATGGTCTTTGTGAACAATTTGATCATGACGGCTCAAATTGCAGCTGCCATCGATAGTGTTACCAGCCAAGCGGCTTCTCGACAAAGTTCCAAGCCAACATGGCGTGTCGATAGTCATCGTACCGGATAAAGAACCGCGCTTTACAGCGAACATTTGGCAAACTTTGGTTGATTTGTTCGGCATTGGCTTTGATATGTCCATGGCTGACAATCAAAAATAGATGATCATACAGAACGTATGGGTCGCATGATAGGTAATATCATCTGAATCACTTTCGCCTAAGGCCACGGTGCTGGAGCGAGTTGCTCCCACTAAAAGGGTTTGCACAGAAATAAGGCAGTCCATGCCTCTACAGAATTTGCCATATTAAATTAACGGTATAGTGAGCCTCTGGGCGCCCTTTGATACAGCCACAAAGTGGCTTCGGCTTCGTGGAGTGACGCTATTGATCACATTTAACTTGCTGATATCAGCCGGATACTCTTCATAGCTAAATAGTTTATTCTGTCTTAATCAGACGTGGCATAATGCGTAGGGTATCGATGCTATGTCAAAGGACAACAATCAACGAAATCAAACTACAGACGCCAAATATGAACCAAACAAAGGCGAATGTGTCGTGGGGGCAAAAGTTTTTACGTTGCTAACTCTTTGCAAACGTATGCTTGGTGATATTTACGACCTAGAGCGACCGTGCTACGAATGAATTTACATTATAAACACTTTTAACAAAATGCCGATCATTTGTTTTACGTGGGCTTAATGAAGCGTTTTACGATCCGCTATAACCGCCATTCAAGTTGATATTGTAGACGGAATGGCATCTTCACTATCTCTTGTAGCTAACATACTCTCATCGTCAAGGGAGCAACGTGGTCTGGATTCAGTGGGGTTACGCAGTGCTACGGCGAGGCTCAGAAGGCAAATTAAGATTGGGGTCATCTTTCTTTTGATGCACGTCAAGACGCTTGGAAGGCTGCCACTATCAAAAAGGCTAACAAGAGCCTGGTCGATACGTACTTCTACTGCTCGATGAGCAAGAAGTAGGTCACGTTCTCGTGAAACAATTAATGCGCAGACGAGCACACCAACCAGGCAGTAAACAGAACATGAAAGAGCGGAGGGGGTTACCCTCATTTGGAAAATAAATGGGTGTTTGAGGTTCTATTTTTGCCAGATTGATCAGATAATGTAGCTGCATAAGGCCTGGCACACCACAACGGTGACGTTCCGAAAAGAAGAGGCAGCATACTCGTTCCAGCGCACTTTTTACTCGTGTTCGGCGGTCAGTCTTGCAATAAGAAAGACTTTTGGTTGATAGCCGTTGCAGATGGCTCCTAGTGACGAGCGAAACAGTAAATCAGCACAATTGAAGGTGATGTATTGTATCGTCGACGTCCGCGCTGAGCTTTGTACTTTTAGGGCAAAATGAGGAGATACTCTACGCAATCGACCAGTTCTCTTGAGTAGGCTTGTGAGGACTCAAGACCGGTGAAAGGACATAGTTTCCTCATCCAGTCTGCAAACAATATGGATACTTTTTGGTGCTCTTGCATGCTTCAAGTATCCAAGGTGTGTATCTCACGGAGAGTATAGGCTTCTTCAATAGCTGTTGCTCAAACAGCATGCGTTTCTTGTGGGGTAGAAATTATCTGTGAGGCGCTCGCGAAGCGGCTTTCGCGCGCCCGTTCTGCATCTGGTGTGAGGGATATATCATTTCACACATGCGTGTGGGGGCCTCGTCTCAACGTGGCGAGTGATCCGAAAAGCTTTCAAGCCATAAACACAACTTGATGATTTGGACAAGAGTTCACACTACTCTAGCGCTTGCAGAAGAGCAAGCTGGTTCCTTGAGCTAGGCTCAGATTTTTTTAACGAGCTGGACGTCGTCGTATGTTCTTTGGGTAGGGTGTCGCAACACCACTCGCCGATGATCAGGACTTGGAGACTGAGTCGTGTGCAGCAGGGAGGCTGACCCTTCTCCTATGTCACCGAAGATATTTCGTCACGACTCAGGAATCATCTATGACCCTTCGAAACTTTGAGATATTTGTATCCTCAATAATTATCTGATGCAGGCAGTCACAAAGTTCGCGCTTTTGGAATATTGCTAAGCCACTTGAGATAGGTGAATAGGAAAGTTTAGCGGCGCAAGCATGCTTTGAAGAGCAGGCACGGTAAAGTTCAGAGAGTGGAGTGGAGCTTTAGGCGCAGTGGTTGTTCATAGATCGGTCACTTTTGCTCAGTGTCTTTTAGAGAAGAGCATCAATAGCCTCAGTGTCGTCTGAGCACTGTTATCTTGTGGGCTTATTTCTCACTCGTCTAGGACAATTGTTTACGGTACAATCTAATTGTGAAAATTTATAAGCAGTAAGTTATCGGTATTGATGAACTTATTAAAGCTTCAGTCGTACACGAATAAAAGCACTCTACTCAAAGAAATATAAAACATACATATTAATTAGTATCAAGTTGCATTTGTCTAACTCTTCGAGTAGCAAAGCAAGCTAGACTTGATTTCACACGTATGGCTAGCTTGCGACAAAAGGCGACGACATACTTTCCTTTTCGCAATAGTCGTCGCAAGCTCCCTGGCCGGATCCACATAGGGAAGTACAGCTTGAAAGATACTATACAAGGTATTCTGTCAGTGCGGCGCAGAGCTTATCTTGCAGATCTTGTACTTACTATTATTATAAAAAGGTTCGGGATTTCCCGTAATTTGGGTATATGCCTGTATACATTGACCTTTCTCGTTTGCTAGCCAAAATTGCAAGCCGCCATACTCACCATGCAAAATGTGTCCCGCCAAGGCGTCAAATAACTGGAGACTAATTACATACATACGTCCATGATATTAAATACCCAAGACTTTATCTTCCTAGTTTTATTTAAACAAAGTTACGCACTTCTACTCTCAAATCATGGTAAATTAGCTGTGATGGTAAGCGTTACTCGTGGTAAAATTAATTCATCGGCTAGCATTTCAAACTTGAGTAATTGCTATAAAACTCCGTGGGTGTGAATGGTAAACAAGTACTTTAACGTTTGTCAGGTCTTCTGAGTACTGAAGGAGCGCTAAACAACTTCGACATTTTAAAAAGTAATAGTGTATTTGTTACGCAGTACTCCATTGACGAACATTGATAATTGCAATCTATCCAAAGTCAAACGGACGTAAGTAAATGTTTGTAGATGAGCTTTGGCAGGAAAGGCTGAAGATTAGTCTACACATTTTCAGTGCAGTCAATGCTGGCGAAGCGATATCATGACCGACGCTGCATATGCCGGCTATTCATCACTGAGCTTATTCGTCGTTGCCAAATCCCTCATAAACTCGGAGTAAGACTTCTTGATCTGGACAAGATGTGGTCCATATATCTCTAAATCTTCCGGAGATTTGACCAAACTCTGGATCAGTTCTTGGTAAACGCTGTCAGCCGTCTTTCCAGCATTTTTTCATTCGAAAAATTGGGCTGATTCAAGCGCTGAAGATACCTCGGCGATAGGTTCCAATTTTGCCCCCTCGTGAAGCTTCAACGCGAGTTTAGCCGGATTTCCGATCTGTTCCGCAAGTACCTTCAATACTTTATTTGCTGCCGAATCTTCGTAAAGTATCTTGTAGAATTTGAAGACACTATTGAAGTCTTTAACGGTATTCGCTAACTTTTTTATATGGGTCAACATACCAACCGGTGTTCTCGCCGTCCAAATTGCAAGCATCTGAGCCCACCGTAGCGATATCAATCTCACCAGGTCCTCGTTCTGACCTCTATCTTCATCTTGACCAACAGTATGGGAAAGGCCTTGAACAAAGGTTTCGCTCTCATCATTAGCCGGTGTGTGCGCTGATGGTGGAATGTCCATTTGTCTGATCGTCTTAGCGCTTGTAGGTGAGGTCTCAGCGTCGACGTACATCACCATGGCGGCAACAGCTAGTTGCACAGCGTATTGAATTCGCATAGCTCTTCTTAAATTAGCTCTTTATCTTGCTATAAGAGATAGCTATGGATTGCAAATGGTCCGCTATATCAGCCATACGTTTGAAATCTCGCTGTTCACGGACTTCAATGCAGCAAAGCCAGAGCACGAATCAGATGCTTGTTACAGCCATTTAGCTGCCACTGAATGTCTCTTTGGCCTCGCTGCATGAACAGCGTAGTAGGGATGGGGACGTTAAGGGACGGGAAGTTCCCGTAAAAAAAAATTTGATCCCAT